TTCTTTCCTTCTTTCTACCTCCCTTCCTTCATTTCTTTCCTTCTTCTTGTCCTTTCTTTCTTTCCTGCCATCTGCCTTCCCTCTTTCCTTCCTTCATTTCTTTCCTTTCTTACTCTTTCTTCCTTTCTTTTTCATCTCCCTCCCTCCCTTCCTTCCATCCTTTCTTTCTTTCTTTCTTTCCCTTCTTTGCCCTTGCCTTGCTCCAACCATCCTTGGAAAGCCAGAGAAAGACATTCCCTGAGCAAGAAACCTCTTTCTTTCCTTGGGGTTTGGGCTTCGTGCGCAAAGGATGCGCGTCTGTCCCGGGATGGAAGCGCCTCCGGCCCGCTTAGTCCTGGCTTTGCTGATGCTTCGAGTCCTGGATCCAAAGGTGAGTCTCCCTCCTTTGTCTCCCTGCAGCCATCCTCACCCTGTCTGTCTCTCTAAGGCTGAGAGAGTGTGACTTGCCCAAGGTCACCCAGAAGGCTTCCATGGGCCATGGAGGGATTCAAACTATGCTCTCCAGGGCCATGGCCAAGGCTCATGTGTATATATTTGTGTATGTGTGTGTTGTGTGTACATACAAGCGGAGTCTCCCTTGCCCCAAATTCCAAAATCCGAAATATTCCAAAATCCAGAATTGCCCACTTGGGTGGCTGAGAGAGTGACTCCTTTGCTTTCTGATGGTTCAGCGTACAACAACTTTGTTTCTTGCACAACATTGTTCTCTTTCTAGTCTTCTCTTGCATTATTCTTTGTTCAAGGATTGCCACTTCTAAGGCCCATATTGTATGTCCAAGAAAGCTCTGAAATGTTGTGCAACTCCAGCTTGAGTCTCCCTTATCCAGAACTCCAAAATCCGAAATATTCCAAAATCCAATATTGTTTATATTGATGGCTGAGATAGTGACACCTCTGCTTTCTGATGGTTCGGCATACAGCAACTTTGTTTCATGCACAAAATTATTTTAAAAAGTTGTGTACAAAATTACCTTCAGGCTCTGTGTATGAGATGTACACAAAGCATAAATGAGATTCGTGTTTAGACTCGTACAATAACAACCACAAAACAGCGATGCCTGTATGGGACCAACCAAAATGCACAATTTACATGTTTGGATGTTATTCTACTTTGCTATATGGCCAACATCGCCAAGATCCAGATCAGATACCCTGGACCTAAGATGTATAGGCAGAGACAGCATGGTGTAGTGGTTTGAGTGCTGGACTCTGGGAGACCAGGTTTTAAATCCCCTCCTGACCATGGAATCTCCCAGGTCACACTTTCTCAGCCTAAGAGGAACACTAACTATGTCAAACCTCCTACAGTTTTGGAAACCATGCCCTATGAAGTCTGGAAACCATGTCCTATGAGGGGTGGCCCTATGGGTATGTTTTAGCCAGGAGAAGAAAAGGTTAAGAGCATGTGCATGTGCAAAGTACGACACATTGGCAGAAAAAATTAATTCTGTGAGCCGCCTTGGATCCCTTCTAGGAGAAAGGTGGCATACAAGTGAACTGAATAAATAAAATATAAATAATAAACGTACAGCTATAGGATGGATGACACCTGGCTTAATAACAGTACATGGGAAAGGGGTCCAGGAACCTTAGTAGACCACAAGCAGAACATGAGCCAGTATTGTGATGCGGCAGCTAAAAAAGCCGATATGATCCTAGGCTGCATCAATTGGAGTGTAGTGTCTAGACAGAAGGAAGTAACAGTGCTACTGTTTCGGTTATCTGGAATCTTGTGTCCAGTCTTGGAATATTGACAAGCTGGCGTGTGTCCAAAGAAGGGCGACCAAAATGGTGGAAGGTCTGGAAACCATCAAGCCCCATGAGGAATGACTTAAGGAACTGGGTATGTTTAGCCTGGAGAAGAGAAGGTTAAGGGGTGACATGATAGCCATGTTTAAATATTTGAAGGGATGTCATATTGAGGATTGAGGAAGCTTGTTTTCGGCTGCTGCAGAGAGTAGGGCATGGAGCAATGGATTCAAGTTACAGGAAAAGAGATTCCATCTAAACCTTAGGAAGAACTTCCTGAGGGTAAGAGCCATTCAACAGTGGAAGATGCTGCTATGGAGAGTGGTGGAGTCTCCTTCTTTGGAGGTTTTTTAACAAAAGCTGGATGACCATTGGTCACAGGGACTGCCTTGATGGTGTCTTCCTGCATGGCAGAATGGGGTTGGACTGGATGACCCTTGGGGGGTCTCTTCCAACGCTAGGATTCTGTGATCCTCTGAAGAAACTTGCCCAAGAAAGCCTAGGCGAGGGTTGCAACAATGCACAGTTGACTTGAAGACACATGACAGCAAAGGCTGTAATGTGAGTCCTGGTTTGTAGCTTGGACCCTAGTAGTTTGGAGGACCAGGTTTGTGCTTTGAAACCTAGGATCTGATGAGGTGGGGTGGGTTGAGTGCTAAATTTTGACTGGCAGACCAGGTTTCAAATCCTCATTTGGCCATGGAACACCCCCCTGGGTCCATTCTGGAAGAAATGGGACAGCAAATGGAAGGAAGAAAACAACAGCAAATCCCCTTTGGACAAATTATACCAGGAAAACCCACAACATCAAAAGTGCATTTACTTGCTCATCCTTCAGTGTGATATATGCCATCCCATGCCAGCAGTAGCAATGCCTTAGGGTCACCATAAGTCTCTTGAAGGCATGCACACAACAACAACAAATGCCAGCAATGCCCATCTACATTGCACAAGCGGGACTGTCTCTATGCAGAGAGAATGAATGGATACCAGTCTGACATTGCAAACAGCAACACCCCAAAAGCAATTGCAGAACATTTCGAGATTCCTGGACATACAATAAGGGATTTACAGGTTGCAATCCTTGAACAAGGAAAGTACAAAGGAAGACTCGAAAGAGAAACAGCGGGACAGAATTATATTCACAAATTCCAACCCATGAGCCAAAGGCAATGGCTGCATGGCACACTGCATATAATGCATGA